AAACATCTTGAATTATTTAAAAAGATAATTATACAAAATGGCTTGGTTTTATCACAACCCAAGATGGCTTTGTTTAAAACAAATGTCAGGTTTCTTGGTCGTAATATTGAAAGAGGAAATATCAGCCCTATCAATAGAAGTATTGAATTTGCTTCTAAATTTCCTGCTGTTATTACTAACAAGACTCAGTTGCAGAGATTTCTTGGGAGTCTTAATTATGTTGCTCCTTTTATAAAGGATTTGGCAAAAGATACAGCTATTTTATATGACAGACTGAAAAATAATCTTAAGGCATGGTCAGATGATCATACTGAAGCAGTCAAAAGAATTAAAGAGAAGGTTAAAAACCTTCCTTGTCTAACGTTGGCCAATCCAAATTGGGCAAAAACGGTAGAAACGGATGCTTCAGATATAGGATATGGTGGAGTATTAACTCACTATTGTCATGATAATAAACGTCATTATATCATTCAATTTTTTTCTGGCAAATGGAATATAGTCCAGAAAAATTATGCCACTATAGCTAAAGAAATATTAGCTATTGTAAAATGTGTTCTTAAATTTCAAGGTGATCTTTATAATCAAAAGTTTTTAATAAAAACTGATTGCCAAGCAGCTAAGTTTATGTTTAACAAAGATTGTAAACATGATGTTTCTAAACAAATGTTTGCAAGATGGCAAGCTTTACTAGCCCCCTTTGATTTTGAAATATAATATAAAAAAGGTGAAGATAATAGTCTTCCAAACTTTCTTACTAGAGAATATCTAAACTAATTATAATTCTTTGCCTTTTCCAGGATGAGACCCTCATGGCCCCCTCCAAGAAGGGGAAGAGGACGCGGCATAGCTGGAACAGCTGGAAGGGGAGGTCATATCCTTGCCCAAATAGGGAATAAGCAATTAATATCAGCAAATATTGCTTCATCAAGCAACAGTGGTATTAATACAAACCACCCACTGTACAAGGAATTTATGGATTTTATGAAATCCAAAAAAGGATCGGAAAATAATCCTCCGATCTATTCCTCAGCCTTAATAGAGGAAGAGACGACAAAAGTATTTGACCAAAATGATAAAAAGAAAGTTATACTTCTTTTAGAATATACTGATTTACGATGGAAGCATGATCCATGGCAGCTAATGGCTAGGTATTTAGACTCAGTCTGTTATACTACGACTGCGTATATATACAGAATGCATTATGAGATTATACTCTCATCAACAGGGTCAGCAAAATTTCAGCATTTTTACCCTACTACTACCAGAAAAGTTTATAAATTTTCCAAAATCATTATAAAAAAGATTATTATTCCTGAAGAATGGGGAATGAGCCCATCAAAGGAAAGGGATTATATCCATCCGGAGCAGAAAGTCGCAGTTAAATATAATTATTGGGATTACGTGGACAGCTTTAATAAAGCGTTATTATATGAAAATGCCAATAAAAAACATTCTTGGTTTATAAAGATTTGTTCTAATGTCTTTACTCAACCAATCCCAAATTGGTTTTGTAAATGGTGGACTTTATACGGTCCTTCAATAAAAAATTTACCGGATCAATACAAAAGCTTATACGCAGAATGGGTAGATATATCTCCCAAACTCATGAGTATGGCGCAAGATAATATCTTCTTCGAAGGAATGGCGGTAATGTATTTTTTTTATAGAATTCTCCGTTCCATGGATTATGAAGTGGAATGTCGAAGTTAATAGCTCTTCTGAAGGATTCCCTTGTTTACTACGAACTTTTTATACAAAGTTTTGGAGTAAATTAATCAACAAAGACCTTGATGGCAAAGTCCATGGTCAAGAAATCCTGGATCTAATAAATGATAAGATTAATAATTATCATGTTCAAGAAATATCTGAACCACAAGAGGATTCTCTGAGCCCCTTTAAGCAGATCTCACGAAAACTCCACATGAAAGGGGAATTGTTTCTAGATCAGAGGCTATAGCCTTATACATGGAAGAAGTTAAAAAGGATTTAATAAAAAATCTGGATATTGATATTAAGGATGATATCTCCATGGCTTCAGCAAGTCATACCAACGATGAGGATGATGCCACATGTCTAGCGGGAGAAGGCCAAGACGTTGATAGCAATGAAGACGTAGATTTAGACGCTCTCTTCAGCAAAATTCAACAACAATTGGAAGAATCTTCCAGCACATCTACAACTGTCAAAGGAAAAGCCAAAGAATAAGGCCCCTTAGACAAAATAATGAAGACTTTAATAAAGTTAGAAAAAAGTTTGTTTGCCACATGTAATATGCCAAAACTTTTATTAAGGTTAGTGGAGCTAGCCAAAGTGTATAAGTAAAGGACATATTATATTATCGGTCTGATCGTTTTCTTATTGGCCATTAAAAAAAGTGTGGGCCGTCTTTTTATTCATTTTTAAGTTTTCTATCTCTATATAAGAGGACTTAAGTTGTAGTAATGAGGCAAGTTTCAGAACCCCCTCTCTCTCTCTTTGTAACATTTTTTGAGTTTCTTTTAAAAGTTTGCAATTTGGTTGATATTTTGGGGTCCTCCGTAAGGTACTATTCTTTTTACTACTTTGCATTTTTTTATGTGCTAAGCCCAATGATAGGCTAAACTGTTTGTGTTGAGCTGTAGCATACTAAGTTACTATAAGGTGGCGTTGTGTTTATTATGTTGACAGATTAAATAGTTAGATTAAGGTCAGACATAGTTTAACCCAGGCTAGTTTATGAAAGGCCACTGAAGGAATTCGTTGGATTATCCATGTCAAGGGCGGACCCGGATAGTAGGGGCAGTTCATACACTGTTGCCAGGATTAACTATGTTCGTAAAGGTTCCTAATAGTTTGACTGTGCGATCCGTTGTCATTGTAATTATTATTATTATTATTATTATTATTATTATTAATAATAGTGAATATTTTTAGCCGAATCTCTGCACCCGTTTCCATACTCGAATTCGCATCCCAAATCTTAAAATTTAAATTTTGCCAAATCCGACTATCGAATTCGCATCCGTCTCGGATACCCGCACTTGGGTCCGAGCAACTTAGCCCATTGCCCATACACCAGCTCCTAGGTCCACAAAAGCCCTTTGCTGAAGTCATCTATCCCGTTTCCCGTCTAGCCTAGAGATGCTTATTTGTTCAACATCTAACCAACATCCTCCACCCTCCACCTTCAAAACTTGCATTATTCATCACCCACCTGAACCTACACCACTTTGTTCTAGATTTAGTTGTTTTTCCTTTAATTTTAACCAGAATATCCTTGACTACCAACGCAAACAAAAACTTCCCATTCATCAACTTAAGTACACTTTTTTATACTTCGTTTGAAATCTCAAATAAATGTCAACTAGATGAAACGGAGAGATAACTATGGGACTAGTAAAGTGGATAGTTTTGTTTGAAATGCCTCGTTCTCCATTACATTTAATGGGAAATGTGAGAATACAGGTTAGCTATATTTGGATAACCAAGGGACAAATAATGCTAAAAACTATAGGAACCAAAATATTCAAACTTTGGCACAACTTAAATGACTTCTCAATCACAATTCATAAGAATACAATCAAAACAAATTGCTTTACCTTCAAGTCTAGATTTTACACTATAAAATAAAATAATAAATAATAGTCATGATTGTAAGAAGAGATTCAATTGAACTAGGCCATACGGTGGAAAAGTTCTTGCACTAATCAACTTAACACATTGCTACAATCACAGTGAGAATACAAAGTGCACAAATGAAGATCTTATTGTATATGGCCATCTTCACATTTCAATGTCAACAATATAGCTATGTGTTCTTTTATTCCTATTCCTTAAAAGGATTGTATAACAAAACTCAAGTAAATTCTTGATGTATGTAAAGGTGTTTCCACGTTCAGATGAATAAATGTAATATAATAATCTTCCGTAATTGTCTACGTTTAGAGAAGTAAATGGAAAAACAACTACATGACCACAACCAAAAAAAACCAAGGGATAGTTTGTATGGCAATTTGGAAAAGAAAACTATTATCAACTTGGAAAGTCAATGGGGTACTAAAAGCAAGACTATGTTACAGTTCTCCCATGTTTGGTAGGTGAAACTAAGTACGAGATTAGCCCTTTATAAATGTAGGGAAAATTAGGTGTTTTCTAGCCAGTCATCAATAAGAAACAGGCAAGATAGTAATGAACTGTGATTGGTCAAAACTTTGACTAGCGACTTGTTGCAACCTGCCCAACCTGCCCAGCATGCCCATACAGATCAAGCATGTTTCTGTTTTAATGTGAATGAAACCATTTCTAAAAATGAAAAGGGAAACAAACTAAGTATGCTACTGCTTTATCACGAGTGAAACAATTTCTTAAAATCAAAAGGAATGTACCAAGTATGTTTCTTCTTTAGCACATACAGAATTATTTCTCAAAACAAAATGGAATCCTCCTCTTGGGGTTGGTAACTTAGTTACTGCTGTAGTGCAAATGAAAATATTTCTCAAAATGAAATTAAAGGAATCCTCTTGAGGTTGCAAAGGTCCTCTAACTCTCACACGTATTCCTACATGGACTTAAAAAATTGGTTGGGTCGTCTTTATGCATTACATATTTACAAAAACATTTTGAAGAAGATTACCCTTTTTTTACCAGACAAGGTACTTAGTTGATTTAGCAACGTTAGGAAACCCGGAGACACATGTGTACTGGAGATAAACTGATCGTGCAAAACTAAGAAGGATACACAATTAAATCGGTTAAAAAGATAAGTCATACATTGTCAACATAGAGGTATTACTGAATAAATTTATTTACATATTTCACATAAATGAAGGTACAAATTCTGCCTCATTAGTGACTCAGTCTTATGACAATAAATTAAATGTCTCCGCTTAACATTACAAAATCATGGTTACAAAGAGGATGGTACAGCACCTATACATTCAGAACAAGGATAAAAATTATAGGAAACATAATCTCTCCAGTTATATCAGCATGAAGATGAGAGTTCAAAGAAAGAAACTTACAGTAAAATTTATGTACAGAGATAGCGGAAGACAAATCCGACAATCATTCTTTCCAAGTATAAGGAGCACGTTCAACAATCAGGTAGTCTTGCCTGATATCTTTGACTACTCGAATATCATCATCAAGGTACACAGTCTCAAACCTATACAAAGGTTATTCAAATCATCATTGACCCAAGCAAATAGTAATCTGAAGACACTTCCTGACTCGAGCAAGAAAATTGAGGATAAGTGGGAAAGAAAGAGAAAAAAAGGACGAAGCAAATGCTTGAGATAAAGTACTTTGAAAGGCACTTCAACTTCCTAAGCACTATACCTTGCAATCAACTGTATGGAGAACTCCTCATATATCATATATCACTTGGTGGATTATAAATGTTGTTAATCGAGACAATTAAAGAATACAAACACTTACCACCCTTGTCCAAATGGAGGTAGAGGAAATTCCCAATTTTTTCCACGCAGAACTGCACTTGTGAATCTACGACATAGAAGCAATTGTCAATAGACCATGATAAAGAACAAAGTATAACAACTGTTGCAAGACAAGCAAATACTATCTCTGTCCTATTATCAGTATTCTCTAATGTTTCAAGAAATTTCTCACCCCTAACTAGAAGTAAATTTACCAATTTTTAGGTGACTCACCTAACTTGTAGAGTCTGTTCCAGAAAAGTTTATTAGCATACAACAACAAACAACAATGCCTCAACCCCAAATGAATCTTCAATATTCATCATCTCTATTTGGCACGTCTCACCCCACTATAAGATCGACTAACTTCTTTATCCACGTCCAGAAAAGATCGTTATCATGAAATGCAACAATCCAAGTTAAATTACTGTAATTTGGACTTAACATTTAATTAACTAAAGTAAAGTTTTAATAATGAGCATCAAAAAGGTACTGCAAGAGTACGAAAAAGGTGAAAGTTATACTTTTTCAACAACTACATCAAATTCATAGTCTAAAAAAAATCAAAAAGCTGGTTTACATTTTCCATTTCCCTATCCTTACACCAAGACAAAAGTCCCTGTAAACATCTGTCTTTCACATAAGAGAGTAGCTGCTTTTTTTTCCTTCAAAGCATCTTTTGTTTCTAACCATAAAAGTTGCATCTTTTTCTTCCCAAATTGATGAGTTTCATTCGATTGGCAAGGGTTTCCAGATTTGGGTTACCACACACTTCCATTTGGGCGATTTGTTCTTGAGGAGAGTTATTAACCTTTTGGGGACCACTCAAAGTCGATCCAGTGAATGGTAATAAAGAGGTTTAGTTCGATATTAGAAGGGGTTGGTCTTGTTAGTTAGCTTGGGGAGCTTGAGAAAGAGGGGAAAATTGAGATAGGGGAAAGAGTATGAGGGATTTGGGGGAAAGAGGAGTTGTCAGGTTTGGGTTGGGGGGGACCCTAAGGTCCTCTGTCTGCATCTCCACTGCTGGAAAAGAGGAAACCAATGACTAACAGTGACAAATTCAAGAGAGGACACTTTTTGTTCTTTGGTATTAACTTTTTTATCCTCTCCAATCAGCTATCAAGCAATATTTGTTTAAACTAGACTATACAGTGTGGGGAAAATAACTTTCAATCTCTCAGGTTCCATCCATTTGTCCAACGAGAATCTTATTTTTAACCCATTACCAATCTTATACATATTTTTTGTTGGAAATCATCCCACATATTAGTAGTCTGCGAGATTCTTGACCCCCAAACCACCATCGGTTTTGTCTCTCATCACCGACTGGCATTTAACTAAATGAAATTTCTATTTAAATTTGTCTTCCCATAGGAATTCACTTCTCAGGGAATTCACTTTCTTCTCAACTTTTGTTGGGATAGACAGAAGCGACATTAAATAAATTGGCACATCATCTAAACACACCATTCATCAAAGTAAGTCTACCTCCAAAAGATGAAATTTGTTTTTTTCCAAGGAGCCATTGTCTTCACACACTTGCCAATCACCCCTTGAACACTCCCACATCATTGTGCTTGGCACCAAGTAGATGACCCAAATAAACAGTATGGAAACAATCATATGTAATTTGCGTAAGGAATGACCAGTTCACATGATCATAAGCCTTTTCCAAATCTAACTTGCGTTAAGCTTTTTTTCTAAATTGCTGATCTATACACTCATTCACTAAGAAAACAGCACCAACAATGTGGACTAATGGATTCTTACTTTTTTTTCTTTTCTCTATCTACTGGTCTACAAACTTCAACGTGGTAAATGGATACTGTGCTGTTTGACCATGGAAAAGTTATTGACATCGTGCAAAATTTTGTCCAGAAACTTCTTGTTTAAGTTTCTCTAGAAAATGTTTACAAAAAGTTTTCTTTTCAAAAACTGTTTACGAAAGATGTCAGGGTGAAATACAATAAAAACCTTTCTTCCAGTCACATAACATTCAAAAAACAGTAACTACTATCTTTTTTTCTTTTTTTTTATGACAAGGGAAACTCGCAGCCGCTACCCTTTGGGTGCTAACCCTGCTCCAAACCAATACTTCTTTACAAACTTGTTTTTTTCCAAAGTATTTTTACGAAACTGTTTCCAGAATTATCCAGGCAGTAACATTGTTAGTATCTATTTAGAAGTGATTCAAAATTAAAATATCCCTTTTGGGACAAGACACAAGATTTTGTGAAAAAGTGTTGCCCATTCTTTATAGGATACACCTACTTTGTGAACAATTGCCATCTTATCTTAAAGGTTACATTTATTCTTGAGAAGGTGTATGTTAGTTACTTGTTGAATCTCAATAAATACCTATCCCACTTTACAGAAATTCTACATCAGAATTCTTCACCTTGGCTTTTTATTTAAGAGTCCCTTTTCTTTACTCACTCTTAATTGAAATCTATTTGAGCGCACATTAGAAGATTGACATAACCGTTTTTTTGCATCCAAACCATTTATCTCTTCTTTTATAATCAACTCTAATGTCTGTTGAGAAGTGATTCAAAAGCTACTTGACCAAGTCTTCAGGAGTTTGTTTGTTAGTTTCCTTTATCTTAGCAAGTTTAGATATATTAGTAGCTAATTAGTTATGAGTCGGTTAGTGAACCTAGATTTTAGTATTTTCAGTTTTACAGGAAGCCTATTTATTGAGGCAGGTCTTTGTTGCTTCCATCATTAATAAGAAAAAGAAGACTGCAGTAAATTTTACTTCTCTTTTGCTCTATTTTTCTGTTCACTTTCCACTTTACTTCATTTTTCTTTCCAACAATGTCTTGTTTGTTGATTAAATGTTCCTCTTGGCATTACCATCCGTCAATAAGAACTTGAGATTGGGCCAAACTCAACTTCAAAAACTGGCTCATAAGGTGAGAATCGTCCTTATAAAGAGTCACATAACTCCCATCCCCCCTGATGTATGAGTCCACACTCCCCCCACTAATGTATGATTCAACACTACCCACACACCCATAACTGTACATCTAGACCATGGACAATACAAGATGGGAAGCCAATAACAAGTAATCAAAGAATATAAGATGGGTAGCGTTCCCTTCAATACAAAGAACGGTATACCACTGAGTTAACATGTATGTTTTCTATAATTTTGCACCTAAGAGTTTCCTTCTTTACAAAGAACCCTAAGTATAAAATATGCATACAATCAAATCCCTATTATTTTTCCAACAAATATATCAAAGAGAGAATGATAGTGACCTGAAATTCACACGCTGAGAAGATGCAACTTCAATAGTAGACCGAACAAAGAAAACCCCATCAGGTGGGAAAGTAATCACATTGTTAAGAGTTTTATTCTCAACATCAATAACCTGAAGAGCATCACCAGCTTTAGTACCAAAAAAGGGGGCATTCTTAATAATATAAAGCTGCTCTTTCTCGGTAGTCCAAAGCAAACGCCAAGTGGCCGAAAGGGAACTTCCAGTAGTTACAGTGTCATGTCCAATGGAACCCAAATCATCAATAGCCTGGATTATTTGTGAAAGCTTTTGGGGGTCAGATTGAGTCCTGAGACCACGTTCTTGGTCTGAAATCAGGTTGAGAAGATGGGTTTTTTGGGATTGAGATGTGAGGGAAGAAGAATGGATGGGTCTTTTGTGGGATTTGGGTTTAGAAGGGAAGGAATTTGGAAAAGAGAAGAAGCAGGTTGCCATTTTTGCTCTTTGGAAGAAACAAGTGGCCTTCGTGAACCTGTGTTTTTTTTATCTTTGGTAATTCGTGGGAAATTCATAATCATATACGAATTTGAACAGCAATTAGTACAGGATGATTTTCAAATCTTAGGCTATTAAGAGCCTGTTTAAAAACTCCTTGGTGTAACTTGATTTAATTATATTTTTAACTTTTTTTTCTTTTTATTTCTATTTTTATATTATTATTTTTATTATTCTAAAAATTCTAAGAATATATATTTTTATTTTATATTATTAATTTCTAAGAATATATTTCACGAAGGATCTGTTTGGAAAGCCACCTGGTAATTGGAATTACACAATCTAGTAATTATGATGACAATTGTTTTGTTTGTCACGACGTAATTATAAATGTATTATTTGGTTGCACAATTGCAATCATAATGTTATATTAAATTTTAAAAATAAAAGTTAATTATCTAAAAATAAAAAATAAAAAATTATATTAGACAAATAAAAAACTTTATAAACTATATTGAATTAAATATTTAAGATAT